AGGGGGGGGGGGGTCGTAAAACTTTCAGTAGCACAAAAGTTTTACACCCCAGCAACCATGATTTAAGCAATCCAGAAAGCAGGAAATGATCCAGGACCAACTCTGGCTGCATGATATACATGTATATCCCCACAAGGGAACTTGGGACTAACACGGGGATGAATTGTAGGAAAACTCATGGCTTCATTAGCTCATTTCAAACCAACTGAAAAACAGCATTGGGCAAAAAGACTTTTATGTGAACAAATCGATAAATAATACTCAGCATAAAGAGGAGGTGAGTCGACTGTAATTAACAGACAGTACCATTAGGGCCCTATTTTAAGAAGCACAGACTAACATCATTTATTATAAGAAAGCAAAAGGAGCAGAACAGGCAGGAGACAGCGCAGCACCCACCCCCTCCAACGACAACTTCATTAGAATGGCAAGCTGAACGGGCCGAAAGAGTACAGCCCACCTACAGAACTAAAGTAAGAAAATGGATGGGAAAATCAGAGAGAAAGGACAGAGAGGTTTTCCTCTAAGGAAAAGGCACATTTGCAATAATATCAAATAGGGGATTAAGGATGAGAGACTTCAAAGTTACATAGGAAAAATATCTCAAATTGACAATAAACTCTGCACTTCACTCTGAACAAAAGAAAAACCCGTGTTTAAGAAAATATGACAGTAAACACAGAATCAAACTGGCGTGACATCTGGATTTTAGCACTTCTAGAAGACACATGGAAATAACGTGGAGAATGCACTAACCAGGCTCTAAACGAACCTAATGTTAACTAAACCACTCGTTGTGGTACTATCTGCATTACACACTAAGCATTCCTTCTTTATCCTTTCTGAACAACTGACAGATCTAGAGAAGACTTAAGCTATTGTTGTACCTTTGTAGTAATTAAGCAGGCAAACATAGATGACAATCCATCATTATCTTTAATTTCCAAAAGGGTAATCAAGTATTGACTTCAGATCATTTAAATTTAAAATGGCCAACAATTTATGACACTTTCAGATATAGGCTTATGTGGAAAACGTTAGTAACATTACGTACTTTCATAAGCATAACTGTTGTAAGCATTAGTACCAAATGTGATACAGACGTCTACTAAGCGACAAAAAAAATAATAGGAAGCAGCACATTATGCACTCTGCAGCTACTTACTGACATAACCTGATGTAGAAGCAAAGAACGGCGGTAACAAAACAAGCCGAGGCAGAAGCAATACAAAAATCAAAAGCCACCAATAATGTCTGAAATTCCTGAAGCTCCAGACAACTAACAGCACACAACAGTATCAGTCTCAAAATCAATAATTTATAAATGAGATGTACAAAATTGACCACAGCATAATCTTCAAAAAAGAAAAGTAATATTATGGTGGGAAAACTCCTGAAAACTCTTGATGTTAGCGAATGTCCACACACACCTAAGAAATACATACAATATTTGTTCAAACATACACATCTTTATCGAGGTGTTAGTTCAGTAAGATTTGTCCTTAAAATTTGGAAAAAGAGAGGGAAGGAGCAAGACATTGTAACTGTCAAGGAAGCAACCTGGAAAAGGCCTAACAATTTAACAAATCACCCCTTATTAAGAATAATATCATGCTAGTTGACCAATGAAACAGTTAGACACTGTTATGAAATTCAAACACAAAAAAGTCATATCGAATTAAAACTTCCGTAGGCCACCCATAAGTCAAAACAGAACAGACGTGGTTATGTAAATGGGTTTTTTTATTGAGAAAGCTACATTTTAAATGACCATTACCCCCTATAATAAATGAAAATAGCAGACATCGTATTATAAATACTTTTGAGAGAGAAAGCTACATTTTATATGACCATTACCCACAGTAAGACCGTATACACAGAAGGAAAAGACAACTACCATATCAAGGTATCCAGAACCACCCCAGTGTAAACACATGCTCACAGAATGCAATTGGACCTATACAATTACACATACACCACACCACATCTTAATACATGTAACACACACACAAACACTTCAACACATACAAACCCACACAGCACAACACCACACCACACAGTAATACATACGCAACATACACACACATAAAAATACAAAACACACACATACCCTCACACGACAGTAGAAACAAACACCCATGCGCAAGATTTTTTTTTTTTTGACTGCAGGCGAAATCCCGGAACTTTAAAGCAAAGACTCCAACAAGCAAGGTGGGTCTAATAATCATCCTATAAGAACAATTCTTATCTCCTGCACGAAAAGTGCTGATAAAAGTTCTTGCCTTCTGAATGCGAAATATTCTCTTGAAGAACATAATTTCTACTCCCCATATTACAGGGGTGGCTGATCGGAGAGGTAACAAAAGAAAGAAACCAAAACTTAAAAAGGAAACGAAAGAAGCACAAACAGAATTTTTCAAACATCAAAAACTAGTAGTTCAAGGTACTAAGTAAGCATGTACCAATCAGTGAAAAACCCGAGCAATACTAGTCAGAACAAAATAAAACTTGAATACATACAGTCAAAGCATACAAATGACAGACTACATCTTTAATGTGTTAAAAAAAAACTTGATTATTCTCTGACTTGAACCACCCCCCATCCATGTTTAAAAAATTTTTTTTTTTTAAATAAATAATTTCGGACCAGAAAGCTAAAGAGAAATTTTACAATGATTTTTAAACGGAGCAGTGAGAAGAATAGCACATAGAAGCAATGACAGGTAATTTGTGTTGAGGACAAAAACTACTGATGGAAATATCAGGGAGAGAACATCCACCAGCAATACTACACCCTTTCAAACCATCATACTGGGTGGTTCTCAAATTAATCCATTACTTCATAGGTGAAAGAGAGAGAAACACAGACTGCTGTCAGTAATTGGTAGGGAACTTCTCATAGATCCAGACAAAGAGAGTAATTCAAAGCACACCTTGCGAAAAACAAAAAGAGAAAAAGAAAGCATGTTTTTATAGATAGACAGATGGATGGATGGATGGGTGGATGGATGAATGGAGGATGGATGGACAGATAGATGGAACCTATTGGGGAAGACAGGAATAAGGTACTTTTGAACAGACTGTGCAAGAAAATGAGAAAACAACACTAGACTCCAGAGAGACAGGACACTGAGAAGGTGTGTGTACCAAAAACCTCCCACAGCTCTTGGGAAACAGAGAATTCCATGGAGTGATGCTAGCAAAAGAGATTGTGTACACAAAGCTTGTACCCCCATAAAGTGTCATTCATAGGACTATCATTGTAAAATTCTTTAATTTTAGAGCTTTCACACGAAGAGAAATCAAAACTGCTTCTACAAGAACAAGAAACATTAAATAATAAATACTGTACAACTAGCAAAGAAACAAATAAACAAAACAAGACTGAAAATAGTAAAAGAAAACCCTGACTTTTCCAGCTATTACAGTTTTTCTCTAGTTGCTGTTACGACTATTAAACCAATACGCTCTTTGTTGAAACCCATCATACATCTCTAATGAGGCAATTAAGAAACACAAACACACATGATGAAATAAAACTTATCTTTGCAGACAAAAAAAATCAGCCATTACGTGGACAAGTGTATAACCATACTCGTTCTTACTATTAAAATGAGAAGTTACAACTCTCTTAAAATGTAATCTGCATGAAAGTGAAATACTGATAATTCAATAGAAGTAATGAGAGGTTTAAGGGTTATTCTGGATGGCCTGGCACCCACACCCTCATTACAGGTTAAAAGCTTGGAGCAAATCAGACCACCTAATAAATTGGCGCATTGTAGGAAGCGGATGGCAGTAAAGCATTAGTAACAGCACAATTTACACCCAACTGTTAGGCTATGAGGGCGGCTGTTAGTATGTTATTTGGTGGTTAATACTCTAAAGCCAACAGTCACACAAGGTGGTTAGCCAGGAAAAAAAAATTTAAAAAGAGCTGACAACGAAGTGTGTAAATAGGGAGGGGAAAAAAAAGAGCCAGTGACATCACAACCGAGAGACAGAAGAACGAAAGTCGTCACCACTGACCAGGGACACGTCTTCCCCTACACTATTCCTACGGTGCTGTCGCTTAAACTCCTTCTTGCTCTTCTTCTCCCTATACGACGTACTGCGAATGCGGTCTCGGACAAACTCTTTGGATTCGGGCCGAGGGATGTGCACTTTGGGCGATGACTCACTCGCACTGGCATTTTGCGAGTCGGAGGCCTCAAAGTCTAAGTCCGAGAACCTCTTCAAATCGGGGTACGTGCGGGGTCAAGGCCACACAACGGGAAAGGAAAAGGGAAGGGATGGGAGAAGGGGAAAGGAGAAAAAAAAAAAAACACAGAAAAGAGTTATAGAAATGGCATGCAATACAGGCCAGAGTGTTATGAAGGTCTTGAGTACATACAAGAATCTCCCTCACAAGGCAATACTTTCTATATCTAAGAGGTTATGACCTTAGGATGCTGTGAGAGTATTGCTAACTAAATGACTCCTGCACAACACATGCACAAAGGAAATCAGCAAGGCCATCCAAAACACATGGACACAGCCACAACAGCCATCTGATCAACATGGCGCGTGGGTCGTGTCCACACGCCTCTGGCCCTGACTCCTCTGAGAGACCCCAGTTATACCAGGCAGTGCAGTTCTATCTAGGTAAGCCGAGTGCTTATTGATGATAGAGTACTGGCTGATGATTATAGTATGCAGCGTATTAGTCCATTATGAATTATAATGCATGACTTGTGACGCAAATGAAGTACACATACCTCCATTGGGGAGGCAGGGATATCACAGTCTTCAGGTGCAAACGGTCCCTAGTTTAGCGAGAGAAGGACAGTTTCGTACTTTCCATAATGACATTACACAGGAGGATCACTTAAGGTATCCCCCTCTCAGACAAGAAGATAAAAAAAAAAAGCTTTCTTGGATGTATGGGGAAAATCATGAAGTATGGCATTCTCAGCAAACCAAAATGGGAGCATAAGTTTGGTAGCAGACATCATTTCCAGCATGTACCAGCATGTTACTCTACTAGTGAGCATCATATTCGACCCCCTGTTCTCTTTGCTATCTCTACACAAAATCCACAGAGCAAATAAATTCCCTCTAAACCAGGCAACTTTGTAACATGAAAATTAGAGGAGATGAAATGGTTCGAAAAGCAGCAGGTTCATAAATAATAAATATAATTGGACATAATAATAAGGGCAGGGAAAATCTCACCAGTGACATTTCATTTACTTAAATACATTACAATTTAACTATGAGTGGACATGGGGATTTTCAAGTCATGATGACCATAACATTAAAATTTTGTTCAATAATGGTAATACAAAAGGTTATGAAGAGGGCTTAGTCTTTTATCTTTCTTTTTTTCTTCTTTTCTTTGTTGAAGAAAAAAAATCCAACAAAACAATGAACAAAAACATGTTTCTAGTATTTTGAAGTTTATAGAGGTAACTACATTTCATGTAAATGATATGAAGAAATTTAAAAAAATAGTATTATTTTCTGCAAGCTTAATTAATGTCACTGCTGAACAGAAAAGCTATTATACTTCTGTCATTTGACTTCTAAAAATATTTTTTTTAAATGAAACCAAGTATCATACTTCCTGGCACAGTGTTGAAACAACAGTCTGGTCAAAGGGAGAAAAAAAAATGACATTGGGGTAAACAAAAACAAAGAATGAGGCTGCCCCATGGACAATGCACAATTAGATCACTTTGGCAAACTGTAGAAAATATGTCAAGAAATTTGCATGATCAAACAATATCACATTCATGCAAACAGTGAGCATGCTGCTCTCCTGGACACCGGCATCCTTATGGGCAGGCTAGACTGTCTCAATGAAATCTTTGACAACTTTCTTTGCTTGTATATATTTATCGGATTAGCTTCTACTTGAAAGAGTACGAGTAAGTAACCTCAAATTAAAGTGCAATGGGTTTTCTTTACTCTGTTAAGTAAAGACACTTTCTGCTTTGGCAATTTCCACTCTTTATCAACTTAAAAAAGGTACTGACAACGAGATGCTTTTTTCGCTCATCATGATCTAAGATAAACACAAAACACGCCTACATTTACAGCCAGGTCAGATCTGCCCTGAAGGCAAGCAATAATTCGGAGTAAAACATCTAAACCAGTTCTATTCTGTCCACACAGTTGTTCTCATTACTCTGGTCTGTGCAAGCGTGCTCCTGCAGGGTGAACAGCTTAAGCCGAACCATATCCTACATAAGTAAGCAGAAAAACATGAAACAACATATGTTCTGAGCCATGCCTTCTTATGCCGATATACTCCTTGCATATCATAAAGTGTGCACAAGTCTAGAGAAACAAATCTATGAAAAAGAAAACACAAAATATCTGTGAAACACCTCCGCACTTGTCCCTCCCTTTCTTGAGAAAGGGTCTGGAGTAAAGCTCTCTTGTCCCGAGTCATCATTAGATACTGACTTTTCAAAGTAACTAAAGTTTTTAAAAACAATTTGTTAAACAATAATAATACTAATAAATATTAATCACTGGGGACTGTCTGGACAAAGTAGAGCTAAAGAGGCCAACCATCAGCTGGAGACAAAACAATCTCAGCTCGGGCTAAAACTCTCTAGGAATAGACCAAGCATGCAAACAACATGACAAGACTTCACTGAGCGTCTCGAGACTCGAGTCTCAGCAGCAGACAGGAGAAACTTACTGTGTGTAAGTCCGAGTCACTTCGCTTCACAGGCGTGTCTTCTAACGAGCGGAACACTTCCTGTGAAAATGAAGAGAAAACAAAAAAGTAAAATAACACTTTGATGTATATAAATGGGGAAAATTTTGGTTGCAAAGCCTGCACAGACTATACAGAAAAATATCCAGAAGCTGAAATGAAACAGCATAATGGAAAATAGTGATCCAGTACATTCAGTTTTACAAATACTTCACTGCTCAACTCCAGCAGCTTGCAGATCTGCAGTTGTCATTGCAGTTTTTTCCTTATGTTATGGTCTTCTATTAGTGCAAGTCTTGCACTACAAAAACAGACGACAGCTTGTTCTTCACAGCATGGAGTAATATGGCACACTTTTTACACAGCTTTCCCCCCAAAAAAACCCATGAAACGTTTATTCTACAAATCCATGCAAAAATACCAGCACACTGCTTTTCTTTTTTTGAGAATAAAAAAATTCAACTAGTAAGTTAAAAAACAAAACAAATGCAGACAAAAAATTTCTAAGACAAAGAAGGACTGGAATATTGCATTCTTTTTTCTCTCTCTCTCTCCCTGAGTGTGTGTGTGTGTGTGTGTGTGTGTGTGTGTGAGAGAGTGTGAGTGTGTGTTTGTGTGTGCGCGCGCGTGTGTGTTTGTGTGTGCGTGCGTGTGCTGTCTGTGTGTGCGTGCGTGTGCTGTCTGTGTGTGTCTTGTACTTGAGAAGTGAGGGAAATTTTCACGGCTCCTCACCCACTTGGCTTGGCGCTAAAGGTAATGGGACACTAAATTAGAGATCCTGTCTTATAAATAGACTGAGAGTGTTGAAAGAAGTGTTCAATAAATCCATATCATAGAGGGAAAGTGCAGTTCATAGCCAGTAGTTATGACAACTAATAACAACAGAAACTCACCCTTCCCCCCCCCCCTCTAAAACCAAGTCAAGAAATCTAAAAATATGCTTCTCCAATTTGTTGTTCTTGATAGTGTAAACCATCATGTGTTCAACTGTTTATCTTTACTCTAATCTTACAATTGTGGCTGGGACAGGCTAACCATTTTCCCCAGCAACATCTGTTGCTAGGTAGAGAATGAAACCTGTCATAAATACGCACACAGAAAACATCTCAATGAGCTAAATATCAATATCTGATACAGGAAAAAGAGAAGGGTAAGTCAGCAAGTCAGTATATGTGTTTTACAGCACTACCAACACAGTTTGGTTACATATATGCACCACAACAGAATGCAATGGGGTGATGAGCAGCATTTACAAAGCAGACAGACACTACAACATTTTTCAAGTACATTTAAAAAAAAATTCAATGCAGAAGCAGTTTAAAAGATTACACATATTTTGTTTATGCATAATTTACTCAATCTCAATAAATTTTTTTTTCAATATTATTTCTGTTATAAAAGCTATGACCTTTCTCAGATCAACAACTTCCAAAGAACTTCTAGCAAGCTGTTAAAATGTACTAAACCCATAAAACAAAATTTGTTATGAGAGTGAAAAAAACTGTTCCATTCTTTTCACAATTTGTATCAACGCCACATATTTTTTCTTGCTTTTTTCAACATTTAGAATTTCAAAGTCCACCAAATATTTCTAGACCACATGCAACCTGTACCACAGATTAAGAAACTGCAATAAAAGAAAATTTATAACTTTTGGGCAAAGTACATTTGAACAGCTGGCGGATTTTACATTACAAAATATTTGTTCCATTGCCATTTCGAATCAGGAACAATCTTAAAAAAAGGTGAATTGAATTCACGTTGCTTCAAATCACTAGGAAGCAAAACACAGATAAGTGCCAAGAAGTAGGAAAAGGAAAATCACAGCTCACAGGGAATGAGGTGGCAAGGACAAAAAACCCCCCACAGTAGTTATACACCTATTCACTGTCTTTCCTTACCATGGAACAAGGAAACACTTTACACTTCTAGAACAATCCGCACTAATATATAGAGTAAATGTTAAAAGGGAGAACCCATACCACTGGGGGAAAAAAAAAAAAATTAGGAGGATTTTCTTTTGTTTCCAACTAAAGACAAAAAATATAAGTTTACTGTCTAAGATGGCCCCCCCTTGTTGAGAAAGAGGCAATCTTAGCCAGGAGTGCCATCATAATGTAAAAAGTAAAAAGGGAAAAAATAGGAAATTGCCATTTGCACAGGTGAATATTTCATGCAGGCGGCGTTAGAGCAGGTCCGACTGTATATATAAATTTAACTTCCCCTAGAATCATTTCCTTGCAACCTCCCAAAAAATAATTGGCAACAGACATTAGCTGGCCTTGCTACTTTACACAGGTAGCTTTGCAAGCCTCCCCCAAAACACACCTGATATTGATGAAATTTTTAAGTGGTTTTTATCTAGACTTAAATCATCAAAATCTTGAAAATAATAAACCCCGACATTACATAAAACACTTTATCAATATCTAAAACATGAAACAGATTCATTTGACAGTGCTTGGGGCTCTGGACTAAAACATAAGGCTGACATATTGATTTATTGTGTGAGCGCTCACTATGAAGAATACACAAACCTGTGATGGGGTTTTGGGGAGATGATCAGAAGCCTCTGGGGTGGTGCCTCTACCAGCAAAGAAAGGTCTGGGGAAAAGAGCAGGATGACAGTCCGGGTAAGAACCGTGATATCAAAAATGGAGGAGAACTGCATTCTCAAGGGATATTGCCCAAGGTGACTTTCAACAACAACTACATATATGTGCCTCGACAAAAGGTTTACCAATGGCAAATCTCCTTCCCACCCACCCAGACTGCTTTTACTTATTACAAAGAAAAAAATTAGAAAACCTACCACAAATATTAAACTATACAAACGTGAACCTTACAAACCATTTAAATTAGATTTACAATTCGACTTTTTTTAAAAAATAGTAAACATAATTAATGCATTACATCCCCTAAAAAAAAACTATAAATAACCAGAGAACAGGCTAAAAAAACTATGATCACAAAGTTTGTTTGTTTTAGTAGAGGTTTTATGGCGCTCGCAACTGCATAAGGTCATATGAGCGCCAAGGGGTGGATATCAACAAAGAAGTCCTTACAGGGAATCTTACTCTGCTCACCTCTTTAACTTCACTTCAACAGCACAAAGTCTGCTTTGACAATCAAGGTACCCCGGAAATAGCGGGTCACAAGAGTGTAACAAACATACAAAAGAAGTAGAGAAAAAATGACGATAGTAAGGATTAGGAAAGAAAAAGCAGCAATTCCCTGTTGCAGTTCAGGCACAGTTATGAGCATGACATTGATGAATCAGCCCATTTACAATTACAGCGCTACTGTGCATAAGAACATGGTCAAAGCCCACCCTTTGGGAATGGCCTAAAACACTTCAGTCAGTAGCACCGCCGGGGGGGGGGATGGGGATGTAATCACAAAGTGAGGGAGAGAGAGAGAGAGAGAGAGAGAGAGAGAGAGAGAGAGAGAGAGAGAGATAGACAGAGAAAAGGGGAAAGAGAAAGGAGACTGACAGACAGACAGACAGAAATAGAGCAGGAAAATGAAAAGAAAAGAAAGTCAAGTCACCTGAGCTTCGGTTTGGGTGTGGACATGACACTCATGGTGTCCAGCTCCGGTCCACTATCCGAGTCCTCCAGCTCAAAGAACAAGTCATCCAGCTCCTGGGGGTTGGGGATCTGGTCATGGTCCGCTTCAGAGTCGAGGGTCGTTAACACCTGGCAGAGCACATTTTGTTTGTTTGTTTGTTTCAGTTAAAAGTTTTACAGCTTTTGCAACACAATTAGGTCACATAAGTGCAAAGGATTAGAAGTGTTACAAGAGAGTAATGAACACAAAAAAAGAAGGCATGATAAGGACGACAGATGTTTGATAGGAAAGGAGGAGCAGACCACACCAGAGTACCTGCCAACCACCCACTGGCACAGCACAGGGGAAAAAAAACAACACCCAAACAAACCAAACAAGTGAAATCTATGGGCTTCTAGTCTATCTGTGACTCATAATTAGGAGCACAATGATCTTTGTATGATGAAAGGGTTAAAACACCCTACAATGTACAAATTGATTCTCTTCAGCACTGAATTTGTTTGTTAAGAGTAGAGAGAAGCAGAGCAGCGAGGAAGAAAGAAAATAGGACCTGTTAGTGGTGCCTTCCAACCATCCATGAATGTTGAGCAAGTTTAGTTTAGTTAGTTTGGGTACGAGTTTCACGGCACCTGCAAAACAAATAGGTCTAAAAGCTGAAAATTAGAGGTGCTGCTGTGGGGAAATATACAAATAATTTTTTTTTTTCAAAAAGGACGAGAGATAAGGATGATAGATGTTTGAGAAGAACAAACGAGCAAACCACACCAGAGCACCCGCCAACCATACATGACTAGGCAGTAAAATGATGGCACGTACGATAATAACCCCCCCT